AGCCTCTCACTAGTCGTTCGACCTTTAATTTGTTTGTAATAATGTTGGGTACAATGAATAATTAATGATTCTTCTGTATTAAATTTAACAACATTTTCGCAACGTGGACACATTATTTTTTCACGTACAACATTTTTTACGCACAAATAATTTAACTCGATACTTCTCGTCGTTAATGCGAGAAATTCATAGAATTTCATTTTTCAGCAGTCGAACTATACGAAAGACTGTCGTATACTGGCTTATCATTCCTTACAAGTACGTTTCATATGTCTAATATCAACAGTAACTTATTTCATTCCGATAAGAAATGTAAACAAAACAACTTTCACTTATCGAACAACATCACAATTCGAAACTACAATATCAGTATATGTAGTATCAGAAAATTACGTTATACTCATTACACTTTTTTTGTTAATAATTTTTTAATGAACAACGGTTAAAATCTTTTGAATATTATTCAGGATGGTCAACTGTATAATATATCCAAAGATTATTAAAATCGGAGGGTGGTCCGTTATTCTGCATATTTACCAAAATATTTTATGGATTGGCATAAAAATCGACATACCTGAAAGTTTATGTGTGTTTTTATATAATATACATATATATACATATATAATATACATATACATATATAATATACATATACATATACATATATAATATACATATACATATACATATATAATATACATATACATATACATATATAATATACATATACATATACATATATAATATACATATACATATACATATATAATATACATATACATATACATATATAATATACATATACATATACATATATAATATACATATACATATACATATATAATATACATATACATATACATATATAATATACATATACATATACATATATAATATACATATACATATACATATATAATATACATATACATATACATATATAATATACATATACATATACATATATAATATACATATACATATACATATATAATATACATATACATATACATATATAATATACATATACATATACATATATAATATACATATACATATACATATATAATATACATATACATATACATATATAATATACATATACATATACATATATAATATACATATACATATACATATATAATATACATATACATATACATATATAATATACATATACATATACATATATAATATACATATACATATACATATATAATATACATATACATATACATATATAATATACATATATATAATTTTTTTATATGTGTGTATAAAACATTATTTTTTGTAAATTAAGATTTTTAGTTTATCATCCTTTTTTTATCACAATCAGAGTTTCTCTTGGAAATTTTTCTTGGCCTCTTAAGGCCAAGAATCGATCCCGCTCGAATCAAATTTCTTTCTTCATAAAACAGTCTTAAAGACATTCCTGATGAAGAATTTCATCAGGAACGGCTATTGCACATCACGAAAGTCTCAAGTATACAAGACCGTCCTGTAAACAAATGTAAAAAAGAAAAGCGGCGAGAAAAAGTGGAAACAAGTGTAAAGCGAGGAATCCTTTCAAGCAACCGTGAAGACACTTACATCATGTTTCTTTTTACCGGCAGCAAAACACGCCGTCGGATCCCAACACGTCGCTGCTGAGCCCACAGAGCGCGACCTCCTGCAAGTCGCTAGCATCCAGCTTCTCCGGTATCAAGTCGCCGCTCTCGCCCACCACCCCGGTCTTGTCACCTACATCCAAGCTGGTGCCGAACCCGCTGAACCCCGGCGGCCTCAAAACGCCCAGCATTCTCTCGCCGAACACGCCCAACTCCAGCACCAGCAAGTCGAAGAGACGTCGGGATCGCGAGAATCGCAAGAACTCGCAGCACTATCAGGAATCCGACATCCTGGACTCATATTATCGCAGTTCACCGGCCGACAAGATATCCGACTACGAGGACATCTGGAACACGACGGACCAGTCGAACCACTCGACCTGGTCGCCCAACGAGAACACCAAATCGAAAGACAACAACAGGATCGCCTGCACGCCGTTGGACCGACTGAGGAGCTCGAACGACCGACTGATGACGGCGCACGAGAGAATCGTCAGCCCCGGCGAAAGAAGCTTGAACGATCGACTGCCGAACGAACAGATGCAGGTGTTGAGGAACGACAGGTTCATCCTGAGGAACGACAAGTTGAGCTACAAGGAAACGACCAATCCGGAACTCAGCAGCTTCAAGCCCGCGCCGGAGCTGAGGAGTCCCGCCGATCAAGGCTCGCCCGAGGAAACTGGCATGGGGAAGCGGCCGGATCTGCTATCCAGAGTTTGTGAGTACATCTTTTCTTCTCGTCAATTTGGTCTACACTTCGAAATTTCTTACTTGTACAGATTACCCAAATCCGAGGTTATCAAACTTCAGATTTCAGTTAAACTATCCACGTGAATCCTGGATGTCTATTAATTATTTTTATACACAAATTACGCGAAACTAGGATTGCCAGTCATTCAGATTTCAACTGAATATCTGACAACTCTAAATGACTTTAATATTATGTCATATAATAGATTATTTTTAAGTAACACAAATCGCGCGAAGTAGAGTTGCCAGACGTCCAGATTTCAATTGGACCGTTCAGCTGAAATCTGAATGTCTAGTAATTCCATTTAGATCATTTAACTCAGTTCCTATCACGGTTCATTTGTGGAACCTTTTTTCTACAGCTCCTCCTATATTTTTTTTATAAAAGTGTAAAACAGACTTAGTTTGTATATGTGAATATAGAAAGAAAAATGATCGCTGTCATATATGTGATGCTGGTCTCTCGTAAAAGATGGTATAAACAAGAGATTGTTTTGCGGCGAGGATCTAATCGCGTGAGAAATAGAACGCGAATTCGGTTTTAAATTAAAAACTCATTCGAAAGACAAGTTTCATCCGAACAACTATAAAGAGAGAACGAAGAAAAGAAAATAAAATAATCATTCTGTGAGTGGCAAAATTAGTTGAATATTCTTTTGGTTAAACCAGTTTATTCGAACGGTTTCTAAACAAACAAAATCATAACGACTATATTTTAATTTTGAGCTGCTTTCTCATTCGATGCTTTTCTTCAATGGGTTCTTTCTGGATTCTTGGCAATTAATGGTCTTAAATAGAGACCCTTGAATCAGAGTCTGGCCATAACTATGGTTTTGTCAAATTTCTACGAGAGAGAGTTGACTCAATAGTTGAAAATTTTTCAAGCGTCACTCGCAACAACTAATCAAATTCCGTACTTTCTCCCGCAGGCAGTGCCAATTCGTTGAACAGCCCGAGCACGGTGACGCCGCCGCGGAACAAGCTGGGCCTGGTGTTGGGCGCCAAGTCGGAGAGCAACAGTCCGCAGACACCCGAGTCCAAGCAGAGCAGTCCGTTCTACGCGGAACCGGCGGACGCGATCGTCACCACGCAGGGGGCCGCCATAATTCCGCGAAGGAGGACGCCGAGGGGCAATCCGGCGACGAACAAGTTCCGACACAGCGAACCCGGCTGGCTACAGACGCCGACGGGCAACAACGGGAACCAGCTGCTGCATCCGATCGACTGGGAGGAACCCGAGGAAACGGAGGACAAGACTCCGTTGATCTCGTCGTCGGTCGACAATCTGGCGAAGCGCCTCCACGGCGCCAGGGAGACGAAGAAGATACCGCGGGCGAAGCCCGTGCAGCCGCCCAAGATTAGAACGAAGGTCTTCAACGACACCTCGTGGGCGGTGGACTCCAGCTGGGAATTCATAGGTACCTTTCGCCCGTCGCGTGTCTTCATCGCGTCGCGACACGAAGAGTCTCGAGCGAGATTTCTTCGACGTGGAAATGAAGTTTCCATTTCTTCTCGACGAAAATTCTTCCTATCGAGTCAATTTGCCTTACATTTCTTCTTTATTTTTCATTATTTTCTTTTGTAATTTTTTTAATTTGATATAATATCTCACGATTTTTTTCTTTTTCATTCTTTTTCTTCTTTAACTCGACTCAACATTCTTCCTTCTTTTATTTCAATATAAATCCTCGCGAGTTTTTTCTTTAATTTGATATAAAGCTTTTTGTTTTCTCTTCTTTAATTCAATAGAAAGTATCTTCATTTTTCTTCTCTCTTTCTTAATTTCTTCTTTTCTCTTAATTTTATTCATTTACTCTTAATTTTATACATTTTTTATACATTTTTATTTTTTATACATTTTTTATACATATTTTATACATAAATTCTCTTGCGTTTTTCTTCTATATTTAATTCGACATAAAGCTTTATGTTCTTCCTTCTTTCATTCAAGATAAAACCTCGCATATTTTTTTTAATTTGACATAAAACGCACGCTAAATACCGTAATGAGAAGTTCATAAAAATCTCAACCAGGTAACGACGCGGAAGATTGCGAGCCGGATTACGACTGTGATGCCGATTACGAGGGTGACAACACGGTCACGAGAAAGTTCCCGGAGGAGGAGTGCAATAACAGGGACATTGTTGGGAACACCTTGACCGTCCAGAGTATCATCCTGCAACGGTAAGTTTTTTAACTTATCCGAGAAACTATACAATATCTCCCATACATTCTTTTGATATTAAAATTGATTAAAGCTTTTTTTAACAATAACACACATATAAAAGTGTCTCTTATCGATTTTTGTGTACTTTATATATGTGCAGAAGAATTAAAAATAAGAGACACGTATCTCTCTTATATATGCTTCCTCGCACGTAAAAGTTGAAACAATCCTTCGTAATTCAAAGAGTTTACTTTATAAAAGTCTTAAAACTTGGAACTTCCACTTATATTTTTCAAAAGTACGAGAGTAGGAAGTATAATTAGATATGTGACAGTTTTGCGAAATTTAACTACATAACTCTATAAAAAGCATCAAATATAAAACTTGCAAGAGCAAATATCATAAAATTTGCAAGAGCACCAGGAAAAAGTATTCCTACAAACCAAATAACAAAGTCCGAACAATAAAAGTCTAAATAATAAAAATAATAGATATTTAAATAACAGAAACATCTAAATCCAAGATCAATCATTACCTTGAACGTGTTTGTACGGAAGCAGACCTTCATATGCCAAAACAGACGCGACCTTTGACCTTTGTACCTTTGCAGGTACCCGGAATTGCTAAAACCGCCAGACAACACGTGTGAGTTACTTTATAGCGACCGCAATTCTTCATACGATAACGTGGAGAAGCGTAACATGGAGCGCGAGGACACACTGCCAGACTCGCGGAAGGATCGCACGTACGACCCTTCCGAGTGGGAGACCATGCTGGATACAGACGAGAGTGACGTGGAGAGGATCAAGAGGAACAAGAGCTTCAAGGAGCGACTCGACCCGCTTTTGTGTAAGTGCTCAGCTCATTGTCCGCCTTAGAGAAAGGTGAACACACGCGCGCGCGTACACACACACACACACACACACACACCCATAGTCTCACATAGAAACAAACTCATCCTGAAGCTTCGCATCGAACATCTCGTCATTCACAACGGATATTCGCGTTCTCATTGCGGAGTTTAGCATATATATTACCATTAGGAGAATAATCTAATGAGAAGAAGCAAATAAACGAAGACACGAGTGCTCGGGTATCCTCCTCCTCTTTCCGTTCTGTATGTCCCTTCCTCTCCTGATTCTCCCTTCATTTTACACCTCTGCGCCGTACACTTCGTCGCGGATTCACGAAGATGCTCGCTCAGCGAGGAATTAGCGCGCGTATGCATGCGTGCACGCTAAACACAATGGCTACACGTGCGTGCATGTACGAATCGCTGACCGCACGCGCCAACGAACCTTGAGGAAACGTCTCCTAACCGTAATTACTGTGTCGCGCAACTAGCGGATTACGTAACACAGTCCGTCCGTCCGTTCGTTCGTTCGTGCAGCGTAACGTTATTGTTCTTTCTCTCCGTAATCAGCGACGGGAGCATACGGGAGTTGACTCACGTGCTACGTGGATACGTACGCGTTTCCACAATCGTTATCTCACTCTGTAAAAAGAGTCTGATGCTATTGCCTTCTTCGCTGTAGCTTCAAATGTGGAATTCCAGATAAACTTTCGAATATTACGTGAGACAATTGACGAACCTAAAATTCTACTCTACAATTATACCGCATTGCAAATATACTACATTCAATTGACCATTAATCAAACGAAAAATAAGTGGTTTTTGGCCCACAAACGGAACTGAATGAAATAAGTATCAAAAGAAAATGTATACCGAGAGGAGTCCAATGTATCAAACTCATGGCGATTTGAAGCTTCTGTCCTGAGATATCGGCATCTAAAATTGAACATTGGTTAATTAATTTAGTGACAGGATTAATACGATCGTCGCCGATGCGAGGAATGCATCGTCACCACTATTGACTTAGAGATTACAGATCAATATATCAAGAGTCTAAATCAATATCAAAAATATCTATGGGATTTATCCAATCAATGATGCCTTTTTTGGATATTATATATTGATACCCCTCACATTAGGATTAGGGTTATATATTTTTATTTTTATTTTTAGACTAACTCAAGATAACAAGAGTATCAAAACACAAATGTGCTCAACCAAACTTTCAAGAATTATGTTTTAAGATCTTAGAAATACAATGGCAAAGGGAACTTTTGTAGGGTTCCTTTTTATTGTCTTTTTATTGGGAACCTTTGAGAAGGTACTTAAAATGGAAAACCAATTTTGGCCAATGTCGCCTCATTGAGAGTATTTCAACGATGTAATTCAATGGGCTACGTAATATATTGGTGGTGCCATTTGGAACGGTAAAAGACTTTAGTTTCCACTGTAACATTCCTTCGCCATTGTGCTTCTAGAATTCTAAAACATAAAACTTGAAAGTTTAGTTGTGCAAATCTATGTATGACACTTTAGTTTACTTTAGGCATGATCCTGTCACAAATCGTTCAGTAAAATTAATTTTCTAATTCACAAAGACTCGTGCTCAGCACTTGAAGCCGATTTTTAATTAGTCAGAATATATTAAAAGTTTGTTTCTAGCATTAACTTTGGTTTCTTGGTTCATGATAACGTTTATGACTTCAAGGAGCATCGAATTTGTGTCTCGTCGTGAGTCAAAAAATTAATCTTCTGACGTGTACAATCAATAGAAGTCAGCGAAGTAAACTAGTGGCAAATAGATGCATCATAAGTTCCACTTATTTACCGTGTCTTTGACGACTCAAATTTTAATTGATCATTAAAGTGATCAGTGGGGATGAGGCAAATGAGGAATGCATTGGATCAGCTCAATCGAAGGTCAAATCGACTTGCGACGACCTATTCGCGCTCGACCGTTAGAAAGAAAGAGAGGCTGCGAGAGAAGGAAGGAATCTTACGCAGTCGCGAGCGAGCGATGCGTCAGACGGGAAGTATTCGCGACGGAATTTTCTTACCCCGCGCGCGATGACACGACTCGACCCGCTTCGACGGAAGAACAAATTATGACGAAGCGCTGATAATGACCGCTTTTCCTCGCTCTTCGCTACGTACGTTTACCGGTTTTATAGTTGAACGTTTATAATAGGCGATAATAATAATAATATAATCTAATTTGTGATAATCACGAAGAAGTTTATAATAATGCTTTCTAATTCGCGCTGAGGGGAAAGACTCCGTTCTTGGGAAATTTACTCTCACGAAGTATTTAAGATATAACAGAGATAAAAGATACTTTCTCCAATACGCGAAATTATGAGGGGCGAGAAAAGCCGAATTGACCCGAATTAACCCGAAAGCCTCCAAATATATCGCGAGAGTATATATCCAACGACTTTCACGATGAAAAAAATAACACATAAAAATATATACTATATTCAAATATATATTGCTTGTTTCGAGCTTATCTTTCGTGAGTTTGTGTTTGTGCAAATCTATAAAGTCATCATACGCCTCAGATTTATACAAAATAGATTCTAAGCTCTATCAAGAATATTAAATTAAAACAAAAATTCAATTTTCCTACTATATAGAGTCGAATTTACTATTTCTTCAATAAAATTTTATATTTTATATTTTTATATTTTTATATTTTTATATTTTTATATTTTTTATATTTTTATATTTTATAATTTTATATTTTTATGAAAGGAATGAATTCTCCTTTTGAGTACACACTAAGAGAAATTATCCGATAAAAAATTCGATAAACAAAATAAATTTTAAAATGAAATTGCATAGCGTTAAGCAAAGAAATTGTACATTTTATACGATTCAACGATGAAAAGCCTGCGTGTGTTTCTATTATTAAAAAATAATTTTCAAATAGAAAGCACAAGATATTGTGATTAAAAAAATATTTTAAGAATTAAGAATTATTAAAAATTATAATAATAGTAAATATTATAATTAAGAAAATAGTTTCTTAATTATTAATCTTACACAAAAAAATTAGTATCTATCTAGAACTGATACATTTAAATTAATAATTATTGTTTCTGTTCTATTGTTCTATTGTTGTTAATATATAATTTTATTAGAAAAATTTTCGAGTTTTGAATTTCAACAATGTTATAATTTTATTTTTATAATGATATTTTCTTGCGACATTTAAAAACATCATAAGAATATGAAGTTCTAGGTAAATATTAATCATTTTGTGTAAAATTTTTGATGAGTATCTTTTAAAATTAATAATTAAGAAAATATTTTCTTTGTCAAAGATGACTATCACATAAAAGAGAGAAAGTAAACTAACGAGTCGCTTTTGTTAGCAGTAAAATAATATTGTCTTCTGTGTATCTGCGTTCCTTTTCTCGTAAGGCCCTTTTCCTCTGCATTTTTTTATTACCTGCGGCTCCCGTAAGTAGTAAATAACAGTTAGGGTCACTGGACCTTTCCTATCGCAGCGATAGTCACAGGAATGTAGCTGTCACAAAAGTCCCAAGATTAGAATACAATGTCACGATATAATGTCTGCAAACTATTGGGCGTCACGCCATCTCTGATAATAAATCTTCGAGGTTAAGTTCTTCCTCGTTAACAAGCCCTTCCTCTAGCCGTGTCATTTTTCACCTTAAAACGGTGGTGGGATGTGCAAAGTCAGTCTCATCTTCCGTTCAGCTGTTCACGCAGTATCTTCGTGTACTTCGCAGCGGCAACCTCGTGAACGAGTGAGTGACTTGACGTGCGCGATCGAAGAAACGCGAAAAAGAAGTGCAACAGGTCTCTGTGAAATCTCGAAAGTATCCGCCGGCAAACGCCCGATGCGTTACCCCGCGCGCGCGATAAGGAGTCGTTAAACCGCCGATAACGATTCATTGCCGAACGGGGCAATTACGCGTAATTGTCCCGGCGTGATCTCGTGAGACAAAAGCGCATCCCGCGACAAAAATACTCCGCGCGAGATTCACGAAATTCATCCGAATTAATTGGCGTTTAACTCAGCCTGATTTGTCGGAGAGTTCGGCGGACGAGTGTCGCTCGTGTGATTAATCTGCTTCTCTCTTCTCGAAGATCAGCACACCGACGAATCTGTCTGTAGATATAAACGATAGCCCAATAAACGGGGCGAGATTTTCACTTAGAGTACGCCTCACGTGCTCGAGCGCTTTCCCACACTTGTGAGAGCTACCTATGAGTAGCTACTGCGATCACGCGATAGCGAAGAGTGGAAGAAAGATCACAATGGCGAAAAGTAAGGAGAAGGTCACACTGAAGACTGTCTTCTTCTGGCAATTCAGAACATGGTTCTGCAAGATTTTGAAGGATCTTCAGCAATGCGTACAGTGTAAGGATACAGTGCTAGCGGCGATCTAACCAGCGATCGTTGGCCTATTAGTATTAGTATAGTTGACCTATTAGTAAATCGATGATTAATCGATTCTAAATCTCTTCCTTTAAACATAAATTTAGATACAAATGAGTCACATACACGCGCACGCGCACCAAGACATACAATTGAAACTGAAAATTTTAATTTTTTATTTTTATTTTTAACATTTTTTAAATAATATTGAAATTTTGTTTATGATTAAAATTTCTTTACGTTATATATAGTTAGAAATTTATATCAGTTACTATATATATATATATATATCACAGTCACAGAGTGGTTCAGAATAAGTATAGAATGTATGGAGAAATTCTTTGTGACAAAAGAAACAATTTTACAAAAATTACGTTGAAATAATAATTGTGAACGAAGCTGTTTAAAATTTAAACTAAGAGTGTCGCATGCTTTGCACTCATAGGAACCATGAAACATCACGTTTTTTTTAGAATAGATAGAAACGACTGTTTTTCTTCTATCTCATTAAAGATTTTATTATGCGACTATGTATAATATTTAAATTTATCGCTATCTTGAATCTCTCCTAAATCAAAATGATTTGCTTTTTGCTACAAGTAATCAGTCTGCTTTTTTAAGGCTGCAAACATTTTCAAACATTGAGGTAACATTTAGTATAAAAAATTATTTATGTATTGCTTAAACATATTTTATGTTCAATTTTTCTTTTAACAATATGAATAAAACAATTTTTCAAGTAGAATAAGTTTTATTAAAAAGAGAAACGATAAGTTTAGATATATGCATAGTTGTAGCAATTTAATTAAAACTTGAAAGCAATTTGAAAAATGCAAGTTAAAATCTAAAAAATGAGAGTTAAAATTCGTGATTATCTGAACAACTTCATATTTATATATACTCTACGAATCACATATATATGAATTTAGAAACCTAAAAAAATATCGAAAAATTTGTAAAATAATTTCTGTATATTCATGGTTAGATTTTGCGTTAACCCGCGAGTGGATGCGTATTGGTCATTTTCCCGTACTTTTTCGTTTTCTACTTATATCATCTAATCTATTGACATTATCGTATTTTCGCTTTTACGTAAATTTTCTTTGATATTTTCTCATATAGCATGGAGAAGTAGACGACGTAGACGACGCGCTTATTTCTATGTGAAATTTGATACGTTTTAACAGTCGGTCTAAAAGATCATAGCGCGCCTACTAACGTTAGTCTTTTATCTCTGCCGCGTCAGCGTCGCTCGATGTGCCGCCGAATGTCTATTGTCTTTCCGACATCGTAGTTGGACGAACGGTCTCTTTTTTTGTTGAATCAATAAAATTTTCAACAGCACGCGTAATCGGAGTATATCGGAGTATATATTCTTGATTCAATAGCGATATTATTAAAATTAAAACTTGAATTATTGAAACAATACATAATGTGATAATTTTAATATTGCCATTAAATCAAGAAGATTTATTCTCTATTTCTAAATTTATCAAATAAATTTTTAAGTTTATTAAATCAATGTTTAAGTTAATCAAAGTAAAACGACAGAAGCAAGAAATTCTTATTTTATTTTATTAAACTAAAAGAATGTCATTTTTTACTAATGCAGTTAAAATAAAAATATGATTTTATTTTTAATATATTCACATATGTATAAGTTTAATATGTTTCTTAAACATATTAGATATAGAAATGGTAGAGAGAAAAAAAGATGAGAAAAAGAAGAAATAGTGAGACATAATAAAATTATTTCCTTCAATTTTAATGTTTCTTTTAATACTTGGATTGGTAATTTATTAATTATTACTTAATTATTACACATATATATGTGCTTAAATATATATTTAAGCCCACTAACGTTGACCCTGTTGGCGCCCACTCCCGGATTAAATATGATAAAGTAACACACATTTAAGATCTACGTATGCAAGAAATGCGAAAAAGATAAGGTGATTGTGTTAGTAACAATTGTCTCTACGTTATCATCATTCTGGAATTGATTCCAGCTCCCCTCCCTCCTTAAGAGCTGCTCGTTTTACAATAATATTACTTATACCATATTTCATGCACTTCGCGCACATCTTTTTACTTTGATGAGGCATTTGAATGAAATTTTCTTTTCCACAGCGCCGCCGCGACTGCAAGCGCTGAGGAATCGCGACGCAGGCAGCACCGGCTCCACCATCAGGGCTTACGCGCTGCGGCTGGCTGCCGACAAGACGACGACGTTCTCGCAGAATATCGACAACTTCATCCAATGCACGAAGGAAGGCAAAGAAGCCAGTCCGCACGTGGTGACGCGCAACATGCGGCAGTTCATGTCGGGCATGAAGAACTACCTGGTGAACGGCGAGCCCGAGTTCGAGCGCGAGGTGGAGAAAGTGCGGCTGAAGCTGCGGCCGAACGAGTTCCTCAACATCGACGCGATCCTCGAGGAGGTGATGATGGGTCTGGTGGTGACGCCGTTGCGGGAACACGTCTACAAATTGTTCGTCGAGCACTACGCCACCACCGGGTCGCTGCGAACCCTCGCTGAGAACATCCAGCACGCCTACGGCAAGCACATGCACGAGCTCGGCGTTCGAGTAAGTAGAAATTTCAGAAGAAGTCGAAATGAAGCCAATGCGAGACCTTGTTAAATCACCTTTAGGGATTTATTTATTTTTTCCATCTACCTTTCTCTTTCTTTTTTACTGTCTGTCAACGAAGAGCATGGCTAGAATTGGAGAAAATGAGGAAACAATGATCGTATTTCACGATTTCGTTACAACTTCTCAGGCAACTAATTGTGACTGACTGTATAAACATGATAGAGGCAACCTTGTTCTATGTATTGATTGAAATCCATTACGATCCTGTTAATTGTATATTTTGTTTTGTAATAACTAAAATACGAACATGCAGCAACATAGCCATCTTGTCTTAATATCGAGTTCAGTTGCTCAATAACGCAGGATAAGAAGGCCACATATAAAATATATATCCTGGTAGTTCCAGAGTCTCCACGGCCCTTAATTATAGACTAATTTCACTTCGTCCTTTCATATGCTTAATTATTTTATGAGTAAAAATTGCATTTACCAGAAACAATATATTATACACTTGCAAAAAATTTCATTCTAGCAAGTAACACATCGCTTAATTTGATTCAGTCACGATAAAGAATATAAAATATAAATATATGAATAGAAAATTTCGAGAGACTCGAAAATTTATTTTGCTATTACCAAATTAGATTTTTCTATTTTTTAACTACAATATTATTCCGATTTTAATGCAACTCAGGAAAAAGTATTTATGTTCTAAAAGAATATAAATTTTACGATTTTGTGCACATTATTTCTCTCAAGATAAATACTAAAAAAAAGCATATAAACAACATATCCTTGGAGCTATGTAACTCCAATCTCCCCTATATATGCGATATGAAGACAAAATTCACATATAATTTTATATAATTATATATAACTTATATATAATCATATATACAATTTTATATAATTTTGTAGAATCATTTTCCCAGGATTACACAGACTTTTTGCTTTGCTCATCAACTTCGACATTTCTCATTTGCCCTTTTTGATCATCTATCCTGCTTTATCATTAATAACCGCAATTTTATTCACAGCCTAAGATTATGCCGCCTTCCGAGGACAATCTGGAGCGCATCTTCAGGTGTATCGAACGGCTGCAGAAGGTCGACTCGCCTTTGGACAAACTAGAGAACCTACTGGCGACGATCTCGGCCCTCTTCAACTCCGTAAGTTACTTTAGCTTCGAGTTCTTTCGAGCGGCAGGTATCACGGCTTGTAGAATCATAGAAGTCGCTGATGAACGGTCGCGAAACGTTAACAAAAATTCAATTGGTGCTCATCGACCATTGGATTTCAGGTGAAACAGGCAAACTCGGGTCGCCATGTAACACTGGGCGCCGATGATCTGTTGCCGATGGTCGTCTGGGTGCTGGTGCGCGGCAAGGTGGTGGACGCGGAGATCGAAGCCGAGTACATGTGGGGTCTTCTGCACCCCTCGCTGTTGACGGGCGAGGGTGGATACTACCTGACGACGTGGTCGAGCGCTGTGCACGTTCTCAAGACCTTCAAATCGAGCCAGAGCACTATGTCGACGTTGAACGTAAGTCTAATGAAAGATTATCTCCTTTTTTATTTCTTCCACAGCACGCGTGTAATTAAAACAAATTACAATGAATTAGATACTTAATCCTTTCAGGACGAGAGACATTTCTTTTCATCTCCCTACGGCCTTTATGCATGTATTTCAGAAACTATCGATCCGATATTCACAAAAATGTAGGGATTTTTGGGGTGCTCTTTCCAAATTTGAAGTCAAAAATGTAAAATTCAAAATGGCGGATCAAATATGGAGATTTTCAAGATGCCAAATTATGTAAATATGACTCAATTTCCGTGGAACTTCATACTCTCTAAATTTGAATTAATGAAAATCTTGACTGACTTCCAGTTTCGCTCTTCTTGGAGCTCATCAGTATCACACAAACTTTAGTTAGCGACAGACTAGAACAAACGATATTTATAATATATTTACATACTATATACACCCTACCATTGATCAAAAAAATATTTACATTATATTTACATCTCTTATACATCTAAATATATACAACAAGAAAGATTTATATTGGATATTTATATTATTTATCATTTTTTCCGCCTTATTGGGTCCGTCATCTTGGATCACAGAATTTTAAAAATCTAAGTTCAGATTCGGATTTAACGACCCCAAAAACCCATAAAATACATACTTTCCTATAATTATCTCCCCGAGCAACTCTCCGTTCTGAAAGAGTTAAATATGATGCTTTTGTTTCTCACATTGCTTGGAAAATATTTATTGTCTTCTTCTTCTTGTTGGCATCGGCTGCAAGCTGCACTAAAGGCCAGTTATTGACCCAAAGAATGTTAGAGAGTCAATGTAGATAAAGTGTGATATCAATTGTTAATTCTTTGTTCACATAATAAAATTGATATAGTGTGTAGTATAATTATAGTCCTAGATTCTTCTCTCCACAGTAACTTAATTTTACCTGCGGACGCGGAAGTTACTCAGCCCGCGCAACCTGGTTATTTATGTGTTATTTATTGTGATGTAATAAATAACATCAAACAATTAGTCCATAGATAAATCACACGCTCGACCAGCACGAGAGAAAGGCACAATGTCGGAAAAATTAACCTAGATAACAAGCTTCTAAAAGACGTCTTAAAGATATCTAAAAGACGTTTCTTCTTGTTTGTGGACGTTTTTTAGAACTTTGCGCTGTCAAGGAATCTTTCAAAGACGCCCTTAAGACATTTTAAGATGTCTTAATATCCTATAGACAAGTTCACCAAATTCCAATTGGATTTCCAGGGATCCGGAACGCCGGACTGCTCGTCCGTGTTGCGAATCTTAGTGCCCGACGAGTTGCACGGCTCTCTGAACACCAGGACGCTGCCGGTGCGACCTAACATGAACACCCGGGAAATCTGCCGCATTCTCGCGCATAAAATAAGATGCACCAATCCTCAA